ATATTAAAAACAATACATCCGGTTGTTGGGAGACTTCTTAAAATTGAGTATGTGATGGATTCACTGCAAAAATGAAAACAAAATAGCACGATTTTAAGGCCATGCGATGTGCGGACTGAAATATTTGGTGTTTTTCAGTGGCATCCGTGCATTCCTGATGTTTCCACAACTGGAGTTACTCGTGAGGGGCTCAGTGCAATGCTGAAGTACTTCCTATCTTGCTATTCCGTTCTGAGGCTTTGACAGGAAGAATGAGAGCTTGCCCCAAATCCTCTCTTGTTTCACTTTCTTGAAATCTGCCCCTGCTTTCCTTTTTAACTTTGTCGCAGTGTTTGGGTCAGGGCAGGTTCAATGTTAAACAACCTCCATGGCAGCAAAGGGAGATGCAAGCCCATAGCGGTTGCTATGAAGGATCCCGCTTGGTTGGGCTGCAGCGCGCAGCGACCAGTAGTGTTTATTCTGCTATTTCTGCTTTCAGCCTCTGATCTTTTCAGTATTTTGGGAAAAATGAGGAACTGAACTCCTTAGAGGATGAGAGTTACAAGCATTTTCATTTGTTTTTGTTCTCTACAAGCTTTTGTGAGGAGTCTCTCTCTTACCTGGTATTCCCCCAGTTGAGAATCAAGGTTGCTCTGTCTGTTTGTCCTGACTCCCAAATCCGCACCCTTCTTTCTTTAAGCAGGAGCTGAAGAGCCAGGGTGGCTGTGTTCATTCAGTCTGTTTTTCCCCAGCCCCTGTCTCCTCCGGTGTGAAGTTTGGAGGGCAGCTTGGTTCCATTTTTGCACAGTGTTTAATGACATCGACATCTTTATAGCGCTTTAATATGAGCAGCAACAGGAGTAGATGAGGAGAAACTAACCTGAAGAGTTAGATTCGGTGCCTTCAGTTAGGTGATTTAAAGGGATTTATCACCAGCCGTTTTCTAAGGAAAGAAGAAATTACTCGTTTACACGTGAGTTTAATGTGGACATCGTCTTGCATCATTGCTGTGGACTGCAGCGACTGCTCTTTTCTGGATAGGGTAAGGAGAAGTTACACTTCCATTTTCTGGTAATCAAAAAGCCACTCACATCTGATTTTAACACTGGGCTGTCTCAGAAGAGGTATTTTGAGGCCTATTTTCAAAATAGTCCCTAATAGGCTTCCCTTTTCTTCAGCAGCTCGTTTTTTTCAGGCAGGGGCACATATGCTCAGTGTTAAGCAGTATTGTAGCACAGTGAGGAGCTTCTCAGTGCTGTATTTATAGAGAATGAAATCTGGTGATGGCACTACAGGTTATAATAATGAAAGTGTGAAGCAAATACCCTATGTTATGTTTTACAAATATCTTTTTTTCTGTCAAAGAGCTAATGCCAGGTTTTTAGAACAAGGAAAAGTGATATGTATTTGTGAATGTAATTTCTTGCTGCTTTCAAGTCAGTGGTAAGCCTACGGACTAATAAAGTCACAGAATCACAGAATCCCAGAACGTCAGGGATTGGAAGGGACCTCCAAAGCTCATCCAGTCCAATCCCCCTGCCGGAGCAGGAACACCCAGATGAGGTTACAGATATAGTCATACTATAATTCTGAATACTGTTTTATGGCATTACTGTGAGAAGTTCAGACTTGCTTAGTTTTACATCAAGTAGCTCTTGGTGCACAGTGAAAATTATTTCAGTATAATATATGCAAATTTATGACCTAAAAATTAGGAAGCGACTGTGTGGAGGTTGCTCACATAGTTACAGGTCAGCACTTGTTGCCTCTGCGTACTGCTGCAGCCTCAGACCGTGTCACTGTGCAGCGTCCCTCCTGCGGGCAGCCCGTCTCGCTCAGCACTGAGGATGGGTCTCGTGTTGCAGAGGGAAGGTGGCACCAGGACAACATGACGTTATTTTTTAATTTAGGGAGTGAGAATGGGTGCCAAGAGCAGCAAGTTCTGCTCTCTCGCACTGTGTGGATGCGAGTGGGGTGAACCCTGATGGGAATGTTGCTTCTGACATTTGCTAATATTTTTGAATGCTTGACTTACACCACCTAAAACTACCTCAAGGGAGGTTGTAGAGAGGTGGGTGCTGGTCTCTTCTCCCAGGTGATGGGGATAGAACAAGGGGAAACGGCACCAAGCTGTGCCAAGGGAGGTTCAGGTCAGAGATAAGGAGGAAGTTCTTTACTGAGAGGGTCGTCAGAAGCTGGCACAGGCTGCCCAGGGAGGTGGTGGAGTCACCATCCCTGGATGTGTTTAAGGAGCGGGTAGATGAGGTACTTAGGGATATGGTTTAGGGGGTAGACAGGAACGGTTGGACGTGATGATCTCAGAGGGCTTTTCCAACCAAGCGATTCTGTGATTCTGTGACTTCTAAAGATAAATGTATGTGTATTGTCATTTTTGTATGTGATAAAAGATGCCGTAGAAATTAGTTAGGAATTCTTTTTGAAATGACGGAGGAAGTCAGTGTTTCAGAGTGGAACAAATCAAAGCACAAGATATGCTTTTTGTTGTGTTCTCTTGTGTCGTGGCTCAGCCTTGTGCCCGTGTAATCTCTTCCTTCCGTTACACATTGAGACTGCCCGGGATAGCTGACATTTAATTTTTTGCAATATAACCTGACACGGCTTTGGTCGTGGTGGGCGTCAGGGAAGTTGTGTCAAATTCCTTCTCTGGAGCGAAGGACACATGGTTGTTTTTGTCTGTCGTGCTGGATGCACTCTATTCCTACTTGAGAGAAACGTTTTCACGTTGCTATAGGCTTTTTGAAGCAGCTTCGCTGTTTTGGTTTCAGCTGTAGTTGCTGTGGTTTCAGTGTTTGTTGCTCACGTTGCAGCGTGTTTCAGAGGTGCACGGTGGTCAGTGTCTTTTCTTTCATGCCGAGTGAAGCTACGTGGAGCTGCTGCTCCTGAGAAGAATTACAGCTGTGTTTGTAAGTGAAGAAAAGGCAGGATTTGACCTTCTAAATCATATTTATTGTGGGCGTCCTGCTCAGGTTTATGTACAAGATTCATGTCTTATCTAAGCATCAGGATAGGAAGAAAATTATTTATTATTTATTCATCTTGTGGAACAAACAAGAGAATATAAACTGGGAAGAAAAAAAAAATCCTCCAATGTGAGATTGTTTCCCATACGCTCAGAGAAAGGAAGCAAGATGCACACAAATGTTTAGCATCTGCAAGTTTCTTGGAGCGTGATTGGTTCCCTGCTTAGGAGAGGAATTCAGTGAAATAGGACTCCTCTTTTCAAAACAAAGAGTAAGTGCCCAGCAAAGGAGAAGTGATCAAATGATCAGCCAGAGGCTAATGGGAATGCACGGGAAGAGTGACAGACTGCATATTAGGAGGAAACCTGAGCTGGGAATTAATTTGAAGCTTTCTGCAGCTAAGGCTGCAAAGGAACTATTTTTGAAACCTTTCTCAAGGACATGAACACATGAAGTTTTGTGACTTGCTTGTGTAAAAAGTATTGTTTAGTACAGGAAAGAAGGCAAATGGCTAAGCAGTTATAATTTAGAGGAATTTGCCCTCCCACCTCACTTTTTAAAAATCTGTCTTTGCTTAGGGTGAAACACACGTCTGCCTGTAGCTTTGCATGAGAAATTGTGTGAATGTTCTTACAAATGCTTGTGATTTAGAAATACGGTGCTGGAGGGTTCTCTGTGGTTGAATCCATGGTATTGTATGTGAACAGGAGAATCAAATCAGGACAGCAGGTAAATATCTCAGCAGCCACAATCGAGAGCTACGTGTCAACAGGGAAATACACTCGAGTATCGGAAAACCCAGAGCTTCTAATTATGAAGGAGTGAATATTTCCTTTGTTAGTGGGCTACCAAATGGTTTTAATTTAACCTCGCGGTAGGTAGAGGTCACTTTGTATTAATAAAATTCATTTTCTTTATAGAGAGCCATTACCTTTCTTCAAAATCTAACGTTACCTGCTGTAGTACAGCACTGTCTGAGTCCACACATTTTTTTTAAGGTTCAAAACATTCCTTTAAATAAAGCAAAACAAAAACTTACTCAAAAATCAGCTTATGGAAGTTTGCTGTTTTACCTTCTTAACATTTATGTTTTAATTTTAAAGCATTAATAAATACACCACTGTGAAAGCCTAAAGGATTACTAAATACAGACCGGTAAAATACGAATACAACAGATGAATTTTTCTCGCCTTTAAATATAACTAAACCTTTGTCCACACATTACTCAAATTACTTGCTGCTGCGGGATGGAAATTAGTTTCATGTAAGCTTTGGTACTCGTTGAAATTATTTGTAAAGCTTGATTTTTCTGAGCCATTCTCTGTGGGGTTTTTTTCATTCATGTAAATAATTGCTGCTTATGTTAAAAAAGTGACCCAAGCAGTATGTGAAGGGATCGGGTTGGTGCGTGTTGTGGTTTAAAAACCCTCTCATTTATTTATGCCTTTGATCACTTTATATAGCGAAGGGGAAAGGTGATACGGTGAAGCAGGTTTTGGACTGTATATAAAGAACCTTTCAAGTCCTATTCTTGTCTTTATGTTTCTGTCATAGAATTATTTAGTCCGACAGCAATTGAGCAACAATAAAAACTGAGTCTTTAAAAGCAAACCTGGTGATAGAAACACATCTTGTTATTGACTCTTGTTAACAATGTCTTACAAAGAGCAGAGGAAGGAGAAGTACTGCAGCCATGTCGTCTGTCTCTGGCCTGTAGGTCCCTATTCTCAGGTATAAGGTGGTTTATGTTTGTATTTTATATTGTGTTGCCACTTAGTCTTTTGGGTTATGTTTTCCTTGTTTCACGAGTCACATCGTAACAGCCTCTTTGGAGGCATGAGCTGACACCAGTACAACGCTCAGGGATTTGCAGCTGTTTTTAAAGGAAATCTGTGAGAAAATGAATTGTGATTCTGATGCCATGGTGTCTGTTATCCAGCTGAGATGTTCCAGCTGTGCCCGCGCCGGTTAAACCCTGCTAGTTGTTACAGAGGTACTGGTGGTATTCCTGTACTAAATCCGTTCTGCTTCTGTTTGCAGCTATGTCATCTTACCTTGTAATTGTTAAATCCGAGCTTCCTGGTGCTGTTGCGGGGTTCTTAAGTGGAGACGAGAGCGGGTAAGGAAAAATGCTTTGTGCGTTCTGTGTTTGTCCTGAAGAAGAAAGTGGTTCAGGACTGCTGAAGGAAATGGGTACTGACACTTCCATCTGATCTCACATGCTAAAAAAATCAGTTATTTACCGGATTTCTTGGAATATGAAATGGATTTGGCACACGCAAGCGGCCTGCAGCATACACACACACAGCGTGATTCCTTCCTCATTGCAGTTTCCTATCAGATGACCTTAAAGTCAGTGGTGAAGCTCCATCTACAGAAATCTCCCTTCTGTAAAAATGTAAAAGGGAAAGCAGAAGGGGACAGGAGGGAGAGGAGGAGAAACGTTTGAACTGCTGTCATGTTATCACTTCACATATTTCCAAACCGCAGTACAAAAACTGGCAGACATTTACATTTAAATAGTTTGCTGTCTTGCTCCAGTAATTGGACTTGTCTTGGGAGAAATGCCAGGTTTCCAGACTTGGTTTATGATTCCTTAACTTGGCTCCCAGTACAGAAATCATCCTTCACAACTGAGCTATAAAGCTGTATGTAGGGAGTGTGTCCCTCTGATTCCTGTGTGAGCTGTCGCACGGAATCTCTGTGCTGAGACAAACACTGCGGCCTCAGCACGGCAATACCTTGTTTGGTTGTTCCGGTGCTGCTGTCATTCATAGCCGTGTGTCTCAGGTTGTGGTACTGCTGCTTTTCCAAAATGCTCGTTTTAAAATGCTGTTCTCAGGTACTTTGAGCTCAGAACTTTCTCCGGATTGAAATGTGGTGACATTGTCTCAGTGCTGTGTGATTCTTGTGTTATTCCTGGATGCTGCAGGTCAATTTTAAGTTTGAAATTATTTTTTTTTAAAGGAACTTTCATTTTACACTTTGTTATTTATAACTTTTCTATTTTATAAGGAACGTTTTGAGAAATGAAGTGTGCTGGTAAACCTGCTTCCTGTCTTTCTGCCTTGCAATAATGTTTTTAGTAAGATTATGATTTGATTTTTAATTTTTTTACTGTTATGGTTTATATGTGTATGTCATTTTTAGTCTGCTAAAGTCTCTCTTCCAGCTGTGGTAGTCATCAGGTTTTCATTTGGGTTCTGACATGTTCTCCTTCATTAAAGATCACCCTTTTAATTCCACTCTTCATCCTTAGTGGTGCTGAGCCTGCTGCTGGATCTGCTGCTCTTGCGTTCCAGTCTGTCCCCACATTCAGCATGTGACATCACTTACTGCTGGGTCTAATTTGTGTCGGCTCTGTTGATGACAAGTGACATTTCCGACAAAGGTGCACTTTGAGACAAACAGAATGAAAACTCGTGACAGGTAGAACCTGCAGGTCTCACAAGCACGCATACTGCTGTAAGGCTTGTTCTGTCTAAAAAGGGCAGTATACACAACATCTCCATCAAGCTGCTAATTTGATAACTCTCCCGGCAGCTTTGTTTGTCAAGGCCCTAGTGCAGGGGCAGCTTACCAGGTTACGGCGGTTGAGCTGGTCGTTACAAATCACCCGAGCCATTGTAATTCTCAGTGCACTGTCACCGCTGCCACCACCCGTGCTTCTTTCTTAGCTGAAATTACAGTTTCCAGTGGGAACGAAGTTCAGTTTTGTGTTCAGAAAGAACTGAAATTGTCCGTAGGAACAACTGACAGTCAGCCTGGGCCTCATCCTGTTTCTGCCTGTTACTGGGAGTTCTTCCACTGATCAATGTTCATTTGACACAATCTGACTCCTTTACCCAAGTGAATGTTTCAGTTGCAGTGGCCAAGCAGTGTTCCAGGTACTCGCACACCGCTGACCTTCTCTGTATGCCCGCGTATTTCATTTATTTTACCGTATTGCCATGGTAGATCATACTCTTTTGTTTCTGTGTATTTCTTCACAGATGTTAAGAGTAGTTTTTTTACTAAGAGAGCTGTTAAAGTGTTGGAAATTGTTCAACAAAAATAAGCAACCAGTTATCAAGACAGGTAGCAGTTTGCTTATGCAGAGTGCATAAATATTGACTAGTTTGATTAAACTTCTTTATCTGGACCACTTGTTTCCAGATGTGGTTGCACAGCTGTTGTGTTTTCTTAAGTCGTTACAGCATCTGATACACTTTCATTTGGGTTTAGAATTCATCTTTAACTGTAGTTGGAATGTATCAAAAGTGTCAGTTAAACTATCTGTGAAAATCTTTTATGTGCAGAAACCCTCCCAAGCCATACGTTTGGGAAAGCCGATTCAAGAATGTGTTTGCATGTTGAATTATTTTTATAGATGAAGGTTGGCAGGTGTGCACGTGTTCGAAAGGCTCGGAGCCGACGTGTAGTACATCTTCGTGTCTTTATTAAAAACCAAAACCATACGATATGAACACTTGCTAATTGCGAGTTGAGATGTTCTGGTCTGTCTGCGCAACAAGAGTTCCACATAGTTTTGGTGACATGAACATCGTTTCAAATGAGGATTGTGTTAAAAAGCTGTAATTTGTGAGCCCTCTGTTAACATTTAATGACCCTGTCAGGAGGATATGATTGATGCAATTAAGTTGTCTTGCTTGTGTGTGATATAATTGGTATGGACTGGGAGTAAGATCCTAATTTAGAACATATGAATCTCTTGTCCTGTTGCATTCAGGAATGAAATTAAAGCGATTTATAAATGTCTGCTTTTAGTTAAAACATGGGGAAGGGAGGAGGAACATCTGGATGCCAAAGCATTTTCAGTAGAGTGAAGGATTTGTATCCCATATTTCATATTTGGAATGCTTCTATCCTGTAGGATTAAATTTGCAGATCAAACTGATTTTAAAGGCAACATAAAAACATTTATTCTGCCTTTGGAAAATAAGTATATGTCTACAACAGTATTTTGAGGAAAAATGGGACCCAGTTTTGATAACCAGTAACTGGTCCACTCTTCAGTTTTTTGAGATCTCTTTAAACAAAAGAATTGGCATTTCAGAATGAAGCACTTTCCCATCACCTCGTTGCATTTTCCTCTCTCTTTTCCTCCCTCCCCCACAGATGCCATGAATGGGGAGGGTTAGAGCCGAGGTCCCCCGTGTACGCACAGTGCGGCGTTCATGCTACTTCTTGATGCTACTTGTCCAGTTCTGGGCCCCTCACGATAAGAAGGATGTTGAGATTCTGGAGCGTGTTCAGAGCAGAGCCACAAGGATGGGGAGGGCTCTGGAGAACAAGCCTGATGAGGAGCGGCTGAGGGAACTGGGCTTGTTTAGCCTGGAGAAGAGAAGGCTGAGGGGAGACCTCATCACCACCTACAACTGCCTCAAGGGAGGTTGTGGAGAGGTGGGTGCTGGGCTCTGCTCCCAGGTGATGGGGGATAGAACAAGGGGAAACGGCACCAAGCTGTGCCAAGGGAGGTTCAGGTCAGAGATAAGGAGGAAGTTCTTTACTGAGAGGGTCGTCAGAAGCTGGCACAGGCTGCCCAGGGAGGTGGTGGAGTCACCATCCCTGGATGTGTTTAAAGAGCGGGTAGATGAGGTACTTAGGGATATGGTTTAGGGGGTAGACAGGAGCGGTTGGACGTGATGATCTCAGAGGGCTTTTCCAACCGAGCCATTCTGTGATTCTGCGTACTGTTGTTGTCCTGTTGCTCCTCATATCAACATCCGCCATACTGGAAAGAAATGAGAAGTTTAAAAATATGTGAATGTGCAGTGATAACCGAGTGAAGAATACTGCAGCAGGGAGCAGATCTTGGCAGAGTGGTTTTGTCACCGCAGCGGTAGCAGACCTAGGCTGCTAATACTTTCTTTGAAGAGTGATGTATTTTGAGTAATTCTTCATTTAGACTTTGTTATTTAAGGGTTACTTTGATTTTGATATGGTGAAGATGTCCTCAACAGTGAAATGTCTCAATTCATTTCTATTACATCTTTGCTCAAACGAGTGACAGCAGTGGCTGTCCACGAAGTATGACAGTAGTTAATATGCGCATATGGTAATTTTTCTTGAACGCTGGTGTTACGCTGCTTTCCTTATGATAACTTGAGGTGCTGCCTGTTTATTAGGTGCTAACCATATCCTGGACTAAATAAACTGGAAGGTCAGAGGCCGGGGTGTTTATAGGTAGTAAAGTCGGAGGCTGATGTGAAGATGTTTATCAGGACAGGATGCAGTCATTGCCGAGTCAGGGGGAGCCACCCTCAAGATGTTTCTGTTTCTTAACAACTTGGGCATCTGTACTTTCCTTGGTTTGGAGATGAGATTTTGATACTTTTACTAGATTGTAAATGCATTTAGACTTCATGTGCCTCTACAGTGCTTTTTTGATATGTGTAGTTTTATGTTTAAACATCATGGCAGATTTCAGCGTCATAATTTCCATCTCTTCTGTCCTTTAATTCCGATGTGGATGTGTGCAAAGAATGAGTGATCACTTTTTGCAGGTAAAGATAAGAAAGTCCTCCTGATTGCTGTTCGTTTTTGTATCACCTCTGGACAGCAGACATAACTTCAGATTAACTGAGAGTTGTTTTACATGTTGTTTTCTTCTGTTGTTTCGACACTGCAATGATAGGCGCAATGAAACTTGTGCTGAGGTTGGTATGTTTAGAAAACATAACTGAATTTCCAAACGAATAGGTTGGGTAGCTTGGCTTTCTCTTTCACACCTCTTGGACGTGGTAAAGAACCAAGGTCACTTAGGAGCAATAAACTGGAAGGGAAGCTCAGCAGTGAGTGGGAGTTAACGTGGCTGTTCCTTCCAGTTGTGTGAATACACAAGTCGGTGTGATCACATTCAAGATACTTGTAGTGTGGTGTATAACTGCTTCTATTGGAAGCCTGTAGGGCGTGAAATAGTCTTGCCCTCTGATCACTGCTTTGAATAAAGGCCGGGATTTGCATATTGTGCTGCTGAGAAGTAACTTCAAAACTGTCAGACCACTGGTGTGTACAGACGCTTGCCCGTGGCGCGTTGCCTGCAGGGCTGGTTCTCGACGGGACAGCGCTCTGTCTGCTCCCTTCTTACCCGGGAGCTCTGGTTTATATCGCAATATAGACTAGGAATACAAATTCATGTGAATAGCGTGTGAAGCTGAAAATAATTTATTTGTCTTGTCCTAGTGGTTATTTTGTCTCAGATCACAATTTTAAAGTAGAACATACTTTTTAGGACTCGAGCTTTGTATCAGTTGTAAACAGATTTTCCAACAGGTCTTGGTACCTTGATGGGAGGCTGCTGCTGCTGATTGCTTCAGTCGGCGTTGTTTTTCCTCTTGCGCTTCTTCCTAAAATCGGTGAGTAATTAAAGGAGAGAAGCGAATATAGTTCTACTTTAGTAGCAATTACAATTGAAGACTTTAAAACCTTAATGAGTTATTTATTTATTTAAACTGGCAGGGGGCTGGTGGTGGTGGGGATTACTGAAGTTGTTAGAGTGTGTTCTGCCTCCCAGCCCTGGCTAGTTAACCTATTACTTGGGTTGCAGTAGTATTTTGTCTGCAATATTAAAATAAAGTCTTTACAGCAGAACATTAAAGAGCTGCATTTACTTACAGCATGCCATTAGTGGTAAGCCAGTTCTAATTCTGCCCTACAAAACTACATAAATGATCTGTGACAGGCAGCTGGAATGTTGTTATTCAGAGTCCTAAGCCCCAGATACGGAGCACTGTAATAGGAAACATGCCTAAAATGTAAAGCTTTAGCTGGACATTAGGATCACTTTCCTTATAAATTCTCTTTTATTTTTACTGTTATTTTACAGGCTTTCTTGGCTACATAAGTAGTTTATCATTTTTCTTTATGGTGTACTTTGCTCTTGTGGTAAGTTAAAAATCTGTGCACAGCTTCTTTTTTTTTTTCTTATTGTTTGAATGTTTTCGTAAGCCTGTTTTGAAATGAATTGTCTTCCACTACCCCCTTAACTTTTAATGTGAAATTTCAAGTTTTCCTTAAGTTCAGGATCTGCTTGCTTGGACAGATTACATTTGTTTTGCAGGGGCATGGAAACGTAGATGAACTTTCAAGCACATGAAAAACTTTAGAAGAGTTCTATTTTGCACTGGTAAATGTAACGATATTTTTGTTTTGCTGACGGTGCAGTGGAGGGAGCTGGCACGAATACTCTTGTTTCCCCACCAGCAATGGAATGGAATTCTGTTTTCTTAGCTTCTATTACTTACTGCAGCTAGTGCTGAGGCAAATTTAATATACTCCAAATGAATTAAATTTGCATGTATAATGGAGTGACAGAGTTCAAAAAAAAGCAAAGCAAACTAGAGCTTCATTAAGGCAGTTTACAAGATCCATTAATACGTCAAGGACCTTATTCTTCTTTCCCACCGAAAGGAAAAGTTCTTTTCCCTGAGCCATATGGGGGTTTTTGACACTGGTGTTCACCCTCCCAAGGCCCCTGTGAGGTCGATGTTTCCAGATAGCAAAAGTGAGACCTGCTAAGCAGATCTAAGAGGGAAAATGCGCCTTTAAGTTGCACTGTTTTTCTTTTCACATGGAAAAAGGTATGTTAGTGCACGTGTGCAAGATGTAGTACAACCAAGCAACTCATACCCTGTCATCTAGGTACAGAAACAGGAATCTTATCTGGGAGCCTGGAAAAGTGTCCCCCCTCTCCCCTGTCATTCTGGCTTGCGTTGGCTTGCATTTAATACCTGTTTTACAAAGGGATAAACAGAGTTGAAGGCAAGTTGAACTAACATGCCATCCCGGAGACCAAGGCAATCCATTAGGAACTAAACCATGTGATAAAACCAAACTTCAAAGCTGTCAAAACATCTCCCTGTGGTATCCTGAGGGAATTGCAGTGTTTGTAGGACCTTGGGAAGTATTCTTCCACAGCTGAACACTGAGGAGCAGCCACAGCCTCTCCAGAGCTAATGGAAATTCATTTGTGTTATTTATAAATTACCTTAACTTTTGACCTCTCTCCTAAAATTTATCTTAAGGAAAAAAAAAAGGAAAAAGCAGTAACTATAATGCTGAAACCAGTTTCAAGAGTTTTAAAACAAGTTCAGCTCCTGGGAATGTGCATGCGTCTCTGAAGAAAGCTGTCGTAATGGGTTGATGCATTTGAAAACAATTTTGGGCTCAGAAAAGGCAAGTGTAGTGAGCAAGGCTTGCGTGCAGATATGTCAAGCTGGGATGATTTAAGCTAGGGTTCAGTTTTGATTATCACAAAAGTCGGTAGAAAGTACTGATGAGGGAGTATACAGACTACTGGATTTCTTATGAAACAGGTAAATTTGCACGCTTACTCTTTGTTGTTAAGTGACAAAGAAGTAGCCACAGTAAATCTGATTGAGATCAAACATTTTGAAAGCCATTATGGATATTTAAAGAAAACTAATACTCTTCACAGAATATTTTCTCTGACTTCTTTAGGCACTGAAACTGAAAGGCATTAACTGCCATTTACTTTTCATACCTAAAGCTTTGAAGTGCGTGAGATGTTGAAATGGTGTTTTAGTTTGCACGATGTTAATTTCTGTACGGCAGATATGTTTCATTTGTTCCAGAAGAAGGCTGTGCTAGTCATCTGGAAGTAATACGGTTCCGTTTTGCATATACCATAATTCTGCGGATTTTCAAGTGCATACCATCTGTTCAGCTTTTTGCCAGCCAGCCCCAGTTTTGATAGAGCCTGCAGCAAAGATTGGTCCAGCAGGCAGCGATGTCCTGGGCGGTGTGGTCTGAGCGTGCTGAGCAAAAGGTGCAGAGGCTGCTCTTTGTGCTCTGCTGTGGGCTGTGGCAGCTCCCGTATCTCCTCTGGGCCCCAGCATCTTCTCCTTTAACAATACTATACTGCTCATAGTCCTCATGTGGAAGAACACTGAGGTGAGGTGGTCTGGGAGAAGAACACAGATGTAACTGATAATTCAAAGCCAGATGCTGTGTGCTGCTGAGCAGGTCCTTGTTTCTAGTTGTTGAATACTTTCCTGACTGCAATCCTAAGTAAAATTCCTTTTAATTAAATGTGATTGTTAAACTTTTTTTTTCACTGCCTCCTCCCTTGCTATATCGAATGTTGGTGAAGGGTAAGGACAGATTTTTCCTTTCTTTTTGTGGAGACAGCCCTCTTGGTAGCTTGTCCAACAAAGGTGTTAGTGATTCCCGATGATGTCTTTCTGAATCTCTTGTTTCTGTTCCCAGAACAAAATGTGATGCAGATTGGGACCCTGCCATATGTAATGAAAGATGTTATGCACAGCGAGCCCCTCGTTGAGTGCTGTCAGTACTGCTGGAGTAAAGGGATTCCTGTTTTCCCTCTGCACGATACAAAAAAGCAACATCCCTGAGAAAATTAGAATATTTTTGAGCCTCTAACTTTATTTTTTAGCAACTGATAAATTGATTTTCATTGATAATCCTCTTTCACAGAGTTTGCAGCCTGCTGTTGAGCAAGCTGCTGCCTAGTCCCATACCTCGAATCGTCATGAGTTGTTCTTGGTCGTGCAATTTAAGCCGTGTGTTGTTGCCGCGGTGGACTCAGCGCGCTGGGTACTCGCGGTTTGTCCAGAGGTAGCATTTGTTTGCTTCTCCTGGCAGCGGTGACAAGAAGGAGCATCCAGTCCTTGTCCTCTGGGAAACACCACTTGGCTGCAAGCAAAAAGTCATCCCTTGAGCAGGAGAAGCGCACTCTGGCATGTTTCTCTTCTCATGACTCTGAATCTTTAATTAAGTTTTAAGTTATTTGCTTTAGGCTTCAAAAGAATTACAACCTCTAAAGCCAGGCAACTACAATAGGAAATTAATTAGGGATAGGAGCAATGCAACTATCAATTTAAACTAGGCTCCTGAAAAAGGAGGTAAAATTTCTTACTTTAATTTCCTTTTGATTTTCAGCCCTGTTACTTGGGAGTCCCTAAACCAGCAGGGTGTAGCTAAAGCCCCAATGACATTCTGGGACAATAATTGCATTTATTGGCTTTCCTTTGCTTTCTAGTCCAAACCATATGTTTCTGCCTTTTAAGATTAGCCCTAGGCTCTGCTCTATCTCTGCTAAGGGCTTGCCTGTTGCGGGGGAGCCTGGGCTAACACAGCAGCTATTCTGCACGGGAGGCAGTTAGCGTGGAGCACAGAGAGGGCGGCTGCGGAGCGCTGGTTGTATTTCAGTGTGTGTCAGAGCTCATTTCAGTGCACCACCTCCACATAGGCACGCCATAAGGCTGCCAGCTGTGCGTCGTAAGCATCTGAATGGATGGCATTGACAAGTTTTTCTGTCAAGTCTCCTTTTGTGGCTTAACTGTCTACCAGCCAAGCCTGTTAATTTGCCATGAGTGTAGCTCCCTGCTTTGTACACCAACAGTCTGATACTTTAGCTATGTGCATCTGAATTTAAACTGATTTTTAGGGCATCATTCATACATTAAATATGCTGTCTTTGCAGGTTATGATAAAAAAATGGTCGATCCCTTGTCCTCTACCTCTAAATAGTGCCATAGAGACTTTACAGGTAAAATACATGGTGTTTTGAAGTTCTTCTAATTTTATTACTATCTGTAGTGTTTTTTTTACATTAACGCTTTCAGAATTACTTGTAATTTCTTAATCATCACCGAAACGAAAAGGTTTCGTGTCTGTGGTTTGGACTTATTCCTTCATTATGCCCTTTTTTTGCACGTATGTCTTACAGGTTTCAAATTCTACTGGAGACTGTAAAGCAAAGCTCTTTCATCTTTCAAAAGAGGTAATCTCTGTTAACAGTACGCAAACTTAAAGGGGAAGGGTGGTTTTTAAAGAATCGGGTTTTAAACTCTATCCAGGATAAGCTATTCTTCTGTAAAAGTAGTTATAGGCCGCTGAAATATTTCCTATACCTGCTGCCAAGTGTTATCCAGTCTCTTGCTTGCTTTTTCACATATGAAGTCTGGCTGTCCGAGTTACATTTTGCACATATGACCAAAGCACGGAGTATAACAGAGGCAGCGGTGGTCAGCCTCACGATGCGGTTGGATCAGGCCAGCTCGCTGTGCCCTCAGGTGGCAGTCAGTGCTGCTTGGCTGTATGCACCCTTTTTTTTTCTTACCTGAAGCGAATTCTTGAGGCCTAACGCAATCTTGTGCATTTCACTGGATGCCAGGTCTTGTATCTGTTAATTAATGTGGCATTGAAATCATGTCACCACCCAGCCAGGCTTGCAGGACAGGAAGCACCAGGTAGGACTCCAGTCTCTGCGGTGTGAAAAGGAAGCGAGAAAGGTAATCATAAATCTGGGATAGGCCTGTGGCATAGTGGAATTTGAGAGGGACATGGTTGCATTTGCCTGAAAGAACAAAATCCACCCCCACATTCTCAAGAAAAAGAGGAGAGAGATTAAAAAAAAAAAGCTTGGGCAATGCAAACATGAGACAAATGTTATCTGTAGATCAAAGAAGAAATTTTGCTTTCACCAGAAACATCTACCGTGAGATTCTGACCTTTTGTCTGGCCTTTTGTGCTTTGAGGAATCTTGGGACTCATCTCTACTTCTTTTTCCATTTTAATTTTATCAGTAGAAAGTGGCACATTTTTACAAGTAGGGGCCTGATTATGTCAGCACAGAAGTTATTCCTCTTGGCAACCGAAGTAAGCTGTACTAGATGATTCATCGCTTCTGTTACAAGTTGTTGGAATAATATGCCACTAATTGTGTGGTTGCAACTTTAATTATGTAACTATCTTAAAACTTCAGATGCCAAAGCGTGTTCTGTTTTCTGGGTGCTGTATCCAAATTTTTGTGAAGCAGTAATGAGACAACGGTGAAGTCAGGATGAAGGATTGGGTAATTTGACAGGTAGCTATGGATATCAGAATTTAGAAAACTTCTTAGAATCCTGAATTATACACTGACTGGGGCAGATCCCCTTTTTATGCTGGTATTTGGCCTCCATATAGCTAAAAAAGAAGCTTTCAGTTGTTGGCATATAGACAGCAAGCCCTCTCCTGATCATGGAATAGAAGCTATGACCACCGCTTGAAGAGATACTCGTTGGAAAAGTCCGTTTTTGTGTGGAGTGACTCAGAGATGCCACTCTGCCTTGTGGAGATTCATCTCAAAGCCTTAATGTGGAAAGATTTCCCCTGACTTCCAGTGCTTGGACTGAATTCTGAATTCACCCAGATATTTTTCCAACCATCTAACACCAAACAACCTGCAATATGTTTTTCTTCTGTTTTAGAGTGCTTACGCAATACCAACTATGGCCTTCTCTTTTCTCTGCCATACCTCGGTCTTACCCATCTATTGTGAGCTCCGAAGGTAATGTATGAAAACACATGCAGTATTAAAATATAAAGATATTTCTGTAACATTTTCCCTTAATTAGTCTTGAACATTTTTTATTTTCAAGTCAGTGCCATCATACGACGCAGACTAAGTAGCTTTCATGTTTTTGGGAAATGTACAGTTTTAGTCTGTGCTGGCTTTTCCTCTCTTACAGGAGAGAAAAGTAGCAAATATGGTTCCATCATCAGTGTCAGTACATTGTCCTGGCCTGGGCAATCTGGAGAAAAAAAGGTCATTTGCTGAGGTACTTACTGGATAATTTGTACTGCTGGGACTGAATCTGCATTTGGCCTCATCTGATTCAGTGGGTTTTTTTACCCAGATTCTGTTCCTGGCTCTGAATATACATCATCCTGCATAGATCTGAAAATAGACTGATATGTCTGAGTTCCCTACGGGATGAGGACAGCGTTAGCTGTCTGCATGAAAAGTGCCTTTTAATTGCCAGCTTAAAAATACTTTTAAAAACCGAGTGTTACTCACAAGGTTGTGTTGTGTTGAATAGCCCGCAGTACAGATTAAGCAACACTAATTTTCTGAGGTTTTTTTGCAATTTAGTCCATCCAGACGTAGAATGCAGAATGTGACTGTCACGGGAATTGGTCTGAGTTTCCTGATTTACTTCCTGTCTGCTCTGTTTGGGTACCTGACGTTTTATGGTAAGTATATTCTTCAGGTATTCTTTAGAGTGAAGGCTAATAGTGAATGATAAATTCATTCTGTCTGGAGTACTGGAGGCTTGCTTGTGCACCGATACACTTGAATCCTCAGAAGTCTTGTTCCCTTGAAGACGTCAGAATATGCCTAATACTGCAAAGTATTACAGTGGTGTTGACTCCTCAACATGTGATGTAGCTGAACTTTGCAGGGTTTATGCCCTAAAATGCTATACAGACAAGATATTGGTCCCTAAACGGCAGCTGATCCTCTGTTAAAGCTCTTTGTTTTGTTCTTGTATTTTTACAAATTAAGTGCAACTAACACTAGCTATTTCACTAGAAATCTGCTGAAAGTGGGGAACAAAATCCTCATGAATCACGCAATTAAGAAAGCTTTATTTTAAAGGATTGTACAAAGTGACTTCTTCATTCTGTCTTTGCTTATGTGTAATGTAAAGACAAACTGGAGGACTCTGGAAAAGAACTGAAAGGGAACATAAGAAAATTATAAGATCTGAATCAGAGAAAGTGCCTGCTTAGTTTTTGTGTCTTGACTTGAGTGGAGGGCAGTGACAAAAGGCTGGAGAAGGAATTAAAAATTTTAAAAGAATAAGCTTCGGTTAGAGCTTCCTAGCACACGTTTCTGGTCTTCAGTAATTTCTCTTGCATGGAGTCCCTCAGCCAGAGGTGGTATCATTTTGGTACCTGAACTGAACCAAGAAACACATATTTCATAAAGATGTTCTTGACATAGTGCTTGATGAAGTAAATATCCTTTTTATTTGCCAAACAGAAAAGTAGGATGTGCCATCTCTGATTTTCATCTGCTGCAGGGTTCATGTGGGAATATGCTTCAGTATTGATTCAGTATTGATTCAAACTGCGTTTGAAGTTTTGAATACTTCTGTGTACAGGTTTTCTAGTTGAATTTAAAAATAGATGACGTTGGTATTCTTGCGTTTCCCAAATACACAGAAAGATTTCAGAACCCTACTACATAGAGACTTTTTTTTTTACAAGTCCATCATAGCCTTTGCAGCAGTAGGGGAGTGTCTGTTTCGTACAGCAGTTTTTGTGTCCTGCCATGTAACGTCCCAGTGTGATACCTCTTCTAAGAAATGTCATTTGGCTCTGTGCATCTGGCTGTAAATTTGGGTTACGGTGTGTTTTGCTCGTGCGGCACACGTTGTCAAACTGAATCACCTCTGCCTGGTGATCTGGCTTCTGGCTTAGTTTCATGCAAGTGCCATCGCAGAACTGCGTCAGAGTCGCCTCTGAGGATTCTTCTGATGTCTTCTGAAAACTCACCATTTATGAGGTGATTCCATGCTAACCTGGCTTGGTTGGAATGAATAAAAATTCTTACAAGGGACAGTAAGGCAGCAAGACAAAAGTGTTCTGATTAGGGTTTCCTTTCCTTTCAGAGTGTTTTTTATATATTTCTTGATTGTGGCGTTGAGATAGTGTCTGACAGAGCACCAAGAATATTGGCTTTCACAACTAATAATTCCAGGTTTCTGGGGAATTTTGAACGTTTTTTCCCCAAGTATAAGTGTAAGTCTGACCATAACTGTCTGAAAATGTTCCCTTGACACTCAAAATCCTTTGAAAAATTATATGGGGATTCATGAAACCCTTAATAGCATACAGGCCACTGTTACCATTTCCTAACTGTCTCCATGTGGTTTATAGGAAAATATCATTTTGAGTGCCACTCTGAGAGTCTGAGAGATCCAGCAGGCAGTGTGGGATAACCATCTGTCTCCAGATGAGATCTCAACAAGAAGTGGAAAAAAAAAACAACCCAAAAAACAGTAGTGGTCTCGGAAGCCATCGTAGTTCCTGTTACCTTCACTGTCATCATGCCTTTGGCACAAGACCATGGTCCTGTAGTCTGATTCATTGGGAACATCTCTGGTTCTCTACAAGCCTGATTTCTTTTAGTAACTCTGAGACTCAGGAGCCTGGAATGCCACAACCAGCAGTGTGAGAGGTTGGGGTTTTTGCGGCTTGCAAGCTGCTGCTGCTTTTTTCACTTTTTGGTTGTCTTGTTTAATTAACTTATTTTTTTAAATAGAGAGAACCTGTTCCCTGTTCCTAAAACACCAGTCTGAGAAACTGTACACCATTTTATTTTAAATGGAAAACAAAACAAGAGTTCTCTCTTTGAAAGGAGACCTGCTGCTTCCCTCTGTGGTTCAGATGGTTTGTTCTGATCTCTATGAATTTGATACATACAGCAGCTGGACTTGGGTGGAAATTTTGGTCCATTCTGAAGTCCAGAAAAGCTCATCATCTTTCTTTTTAATGCTTTCTAATATTTGTATCTTCTCTTTAGGTAGCTTTGGCTTCAGCAGAGGCCCTACAGGGGCTTGCCTCAGGGTGTTTTTCAGTTTTTCTTGAGGTTGTGTATCTGTTAGCACTAC